GAAGTTTTGAAGCTTTTTGTTCGAGCACCTACTCCAGCGTTCCAGTGCTTATTGTTTATTGCTCTGTATATTTCTCGCAATTATTGAATATGAATGAATCATTGAATGTTTATAATGAAAATTTCATCTGTTAATCTGCCTTATATAAATATAAACTTATTTATAGATATTCTTTTTTTTCACGTATATATCAATTCTCTCCCATACATATTCATGGTTGATTAAGTAATTTTAATATCCTAGGATTTGTACATTATTAGATATATCTTTGGCTTTATGCAAAGATACTAAAATACATATTTTTAATGAATTAGGAATTATTCTTACCTCTTCTAGCACGGCAATAACACTTTTATACTTCTCCAAGGTTGTAATCTTGTTCAACTTCGTCTTTTTCCTTTACTTTTTTTGGCGCTTGAGTGATTTCATTATTTGTAATTTGAGTTAATGACTTTTCGGACAAAATTTTCGGTTTATAAACTATGAAAATATTTATTGCATCTTCTTTCACACTACAACCTGAAAAATCTCCTGTATATAGTACCCCTCATGTATTTTTGTTCATTTCGGATAAATTTTGCCGCTTGCTGTAGAGCCCTCTTATATCAAAATTGTCGCATTTTTATTTCACCTCGTATATTATAAAACACCGGAAAATATTCTTAATCTTTTTGCGTCTCTAGATTGATAATATAACATTTTCGAGTCTGTTTATAATATACAAATTGGTCTCTCGTTTAATCTTGGTTCCGCCTTGATATTTACGTAGGTAGAATCTTTCTGCTTATACGGACAAGTGTGAGGAGTATGCGAAGTGATCTTAGAGTGATAATGTCACTTCTTGATGGACCGACCACGAGAGCAGTCGTTTTCATTGTGGAAGTCCGAATTTGGTCATCGAGACTGCGATGTTGGCTGCGTAAGAGAACAATTTTAAAGTCTGAGGAAGGTTCGTTTTCGTGTAGTTTTGGAAAAACCGGCAAAGTTTCGCTGAATTCCACGTGTGTGAGACGAAGGAGATTTGAGCTTAAAATGCAGTATGGCAATCTTTGTAAAGGGGTTAATCACCTTTTGTTGTAAGCTATGTCCTCTGATCAGAGGATTTTTCTAAACCACGTCCTAATTTTAAATAGTTTAGAAATCTTGAAAGGAATCCCTATCCATGACCTTGCTCTCCAACCAAAGCACCAATAGTAGTTTGCAAACGTTTCAATTTTTTGCTTACCCTATCTCCAAGCGCAGTAATTAGTCATTCCCCCCTTTAAGAAAATTATCATTGCTACAAATGGCGCTCAACGTGGGGCTTGTTATTATTGTTACAACTGGTGCACAACGTGGGTCATGTTTTAAATTGTTACATCTATTACCCAACCTGGCTGGTTGTAATGAATACACTAGCCAGATTAGCCACTGACACCCGATACAATTTAAACACGAACATTGTTCCATTTACAGATCTTACCTCCAAGTTTACTTCAGATGTAAAACAATTGTGGCAGCAGGAATATAATTCATCAGTGAAAGGGCTTAACTATGTTGGCCACCAAAATAACATTCCATCAAAAATCGGGTTTCATGATTAACAAAACGAAACTTCATTTTTATTATAAACAGAATAAGATCAAATCATGGCATGACTCCTTTGTACAAATATAAAATAAAAAAAAACAAAAAACAAAAAAAAGGAATTAAAACATATTAACATTTTTATCGTAGTGTGTGAGAATTTGAAAAGTCAAATGTATCTATATTGGATTAAATAATGCCCTTTTTATAATTTATAAATAAAAAAAGTCTGGCTAATTGTTTTTATTGTTACAAATGGCACCCAACTTGGTCGGCTTGTTATTATTGTTACAAAATAAAAAATAACATATGTTATAAACCAACTTAAAAACAACAAGGCACCCGGTTCAGATAGGATCAATTCGGATACTCTAAAAACTGATCAGTGAGGTCAATATTGACCAACTAGTGACCCTATATTATAATACAGCATATGAATCAGGTAGTACAAGCTCTAACAACTATATAATGGGACAAATTAAAATTCATAGCAAATTCACGCGTTTGACTGGTAATTTACAAAACGTTACTCACAAAACGTAATTAATATTCTTTGATACAATCCACATAACTTATTAATGTCCTAAGGATCATCAAAATTTGTAAAAATTAGTAACAACTAAATAATGGGACAGTTTGAAGTAACTGCTTAAAGCCATACAAGATAATTGGGCTGAGAAATGCAGCCGGACACTAACAAATGTCAAACTATATTCTACAATTAATTTCTTGTCAAATTGAGTGAATCGCTGTATTTCAACAAAATGATGCCTGGTATCTCTACAAATTAAAAAATTCGTGAATTGGTGATTAAAAACTATTGACGCAATAAAACAATTTTTTAAGTGGCGGATGAAATTAATTTTCCTAAAACTTCAATGTGAAATATAATTAACCATTATGAGGAAACATGAAGTATCTTAGATAAAAAATGTAAAATCCCGGGTTTTGATAAGAATAGGAGAATGTTAGTAAGTTTGCAAAAAGGCCGAAGAAATACTCTAAGGCAAGTTACAGGTGAATGAAATCATAAAACTGGATTAAATTTGTCAAGGAATTCTGTTTCAAAACTACAATATATATATATATATATATATATATATATATATATATATATATATATATATATATATATATATATATATATATTTCACTTGTTTCGTAACAGAGCGGACGTACCGACCGCTCGGTATTCACATCTCCTAAACCCGGTAATAGTGCTCGAATTTACTTCAAATTTGGTGTGAATACTCTTGAAGTACTATACTTTCAATTGAAATAAAAAAATCAATTTTGTTTGAAAATATAAGATCTATGTAACCCCTTAGACACATCATAGATCAGTATATCTACATTTTAGTTGACAATATTTTATAACTCAAATTCTAAGTATACTATATATTTCCATAATTGCAAGATTTTAAAATCTTAAAATCTTTTAAGAAATACAAATATCAAATATTAAAATCAACTGCAGAGCTGAACTATTAGTCTTGTCATCTACGGTGTAGTTATTTTTGTAATATTGGAATATTCATTACCAGCAATAACATAAGACGCGTACGTCAAAGGTTTGTTATATTGACGTGCCAAGGTGAAACCGGTAACAACGAGGAAGATAACTTCACGTTTACATACTTTATTTTAATTAGCTTTACCCTGAAGTTTTCGTTCGCTACAATAATTTGTTACACTCACGGAGTACAAAACTACAAAATAAATTTAAAACATGAAACCTTTACATGATGAAAATGCATTTCCAAATGGAAATATAGCATGACTCGAATCGAAATCGAGTATGTTTTGTCTCTCTAGGCTAGAAACACACGTGGTAATGTGTTTGTAATATGTCTTATAATTTGCGACCGTAGAATTTCTAGCGCCACGTTACATTTTATCTATTTATACATATTGTATATTGTTACACATTGTAAACACTGATGGAAACAGCAACAATATTAATGTACTTGATAACTTTAACTCAATGACACGACTATTCAAAAACTCAATTACTACTTCTATGTACTTAAACTGTAAACTTCCTGTGTTTATATACATTTTCTGATATTCCTGACCTTAAGAGACATTTCGGGATTTTTCCATGACATCTCGAATGTTCTAGATTTTTTACTACGTCTTCTGTATCGTCAAAGGACTTTTCCTTTGTGGATGTGGATCGAGAATATCCTCTGCAACTCGTTCAAAAGGCTCTCTGGAAAGATTGTCCACTACTTGTTCTAGGACCTGTTCTTCCGTTAGATGTCACAAGTATTACGAGACACTTAAAACATACAGTTAAAACAGTGTTTTCGTAGGTTTTCGATAACGGTTCAAATATTGGGGAAATGAATTATTATTCCTTTCAAGACATTGTTGATACCTTATCCAAATGATTCTAGGATATCCTTAGATTTATGATTAGGAATTTAAATACAGACTGTAATAAGTGAGGATATACAAATTGTTTAAACAATTCTAAAACAGTATATTGTAAAATGTCATTGATCCTCTAAATAAACTGTTAATTACCCGTGGTAACTTATCAGCCATAAAGTGATAAATTTGATAAAAAACAATTTTTTTGTTTGATAAAAGTAATCTATACTATGATAGTACTCTGCAAATTATTTAAGATAACAAAAAGCTTTAATGATCAATAATTAATAAAGAAATGTTTAATTTAAATGTACCTGTTAATATTTCATTTAGTAAATAAAATGTGAAATAGGGACGCAGTTGCTTAAATTCCTTACCTCATCCTTTAAATACATTCAGATTTCAATATCTACAGAGATTTTATTTCAAACTAGTATGTATGCCCATGATCATATTCTGTGTAGACGAGCGACTTAAGATAGACTTAAGCGACCAATAGAATGGCCCTTAAGATCTACATATCTTACACCACTTGATTTTTTCCTGTGGTTACTTATCATTAAAAAATAGAATTGGAAATTCGTAATATAACTCCAGAAATGATCCACAATGTTTATCGTCAGAAGATTATCGTCATCGTGTTTCAATTATTGCCAGTTGTAACGTTTATTTTAATCGAACAGCAATTTTTAATTATCAAATAAACATTTTTTTCTGTTTGTTGGCAACCTTAAAATGTATTTCGTATTAAATCGTATAAATTAATTGAATTCAAAAAGTAAATATTTTGGCCACGCTGTACAAATAATCAAGTACTTTAATGTCTTTAAAGTTGCCTATTCTCGAAAAATTAAATATATAATATGTGGTTCACATAATTGATTGGATTGGGCACTATATAAGTGGTGGTATGTAAAAATAAAGTGTGTAAGCTTAAAATGCTACTCAGAACTCTTTAACTAGTGTGTAATGAATGTCACCTGTCTCCATTTTCATCAGTATTTTTTTGTTTAGAAATTGTTTTACAACCTATTTAAATATTATTATTTTTCTTTCAGATGTAGAAAATCCATAGATTTTTCGCTGAAGTGTGCCTGGTTATTGGATGCCTTTAGTTCAGATGCATCCGTACCAACTAAAAAGAAGCCTCACGGCATCAAACTGCGTAACCTCATCCTTTCTGATGAACTCAGGCCGAAAGACCACAAGATAATGACGACGTCTCTAAACAGCGCGTCCGGTGATAAACTGACCGTCCCACAGCACATCAAAAAACACCACCAGAGGTCGCATAGTGACGCTTCCGCTCTATTTCCAGGTCTGAAGAAGAGCGCTCCCAACGTTACGAAACTCAGTCTGGGCGATTTGAGTTCGGGTAGAGCCTTCGACAACGGCTGTGTATGTTTTGACAGTTGTCAGAGCGTAGTCAACGATCTTAGGGGAGAAAAGACTGAATGCATTTGTTCGGTAAGTTGTCAAAACTTCATTTTTCAATATTTTTAAACATCCGTTTGAAATGCTAAAGTTAATAATAAATTTGTAATAATGATAATAAGGTTAATAACATTGAGGTAAGCAATTAACAAAAGAGATTACTAATTTAAGAATTAATTTTCGGATGCATCTACTTTACATTGCGCGATTTCCGTAGTGACACCACCGCGAATCGCTTAAACTGAAGGAACCAGGAATGCGCAAAAACTAGATGGGCGACATTACAAAGAAGTCTGTCAAGGCTATGTCGATAATACAGTGTCCAACTATTGTTACATTCCATGAAACAAAAGGCTCCTTACTTGCCATTCAAAACCTGGTTATACCATCCAAAAATTACCTGAAATATATCGTCAAAGACCCTCAAGAATCCAAAAAGGATAAGGTCCAAAACGACAAATGCCGATATGGATGTCAAACCCAAGAAACTGTCCAATATCTGATCGAGGGTAGCCGGCCTTTTACTGCAACTGAATATAAGGAACGGGACGACTCAGTAGGAAAGATCCTTCATCAAGAGATTTGGACACATCCTAACAAACTGGGACTTCTCCAAAAAAAAACCATCTCCCATATTACCAATACGTTATTAAGAGTATGCTTGAGAATGACAACTACAAGCTATAATGGAACTGCACTGTGCTAACTGACTAACCAGTGGAATATAATAGACCAGATATCATACAGATACGGGACAAAAAACACTAATTTACCTGTCGATACCTAACAACAATAATCTGCGTGTTAAGTACAAAGATCTGGAAATACAAATAAGGAGACAATGGAGAATAGAAAGGACCTAGACAGTAGGACCTAGACCAAGTAGGACAGAAAGACGATTTTCGGTTCATGATAGATAGATTAATTAATTTTTAATCCCAATGAATTTTTAAACATAAAAACATAACATTTAACTTTAGATTAATTTCTTTCAACTTTATTTAACACCAATCGTCATGAGATAATTACTCTCTAATCTTACGGTAAGTCAGACGATGACTTTTTGGGGCAAAGATTTTGTCGTCAATAAGGACGACACAATCTGTATTCCATTAATAATTAAATACTTAAAATAACTAGGAAACATTCCCGGATTCGTCTTCCTTGTGGGATTTTCCGAACTAAAAAGGTCACTATTGCTATCCTAACGAAGTCTTAAATACATATTTTATGTTTTTAATAACAAGCTTTTATAGCTTTTATATTAAACGGGAAAAATGAAAAATAAACTAATGAGCCATGGCAAAAGTTACGGGCTAAAAGAGTAACTCACATTTTCTTTGTTCCGAAGAGATACTAATGTAAGAGCGAAACGGAAATGAAGCTTAAATACGCTCTCAAAAAGCTTAATGGAGGAATACAGTGTATTAACAACAGTTGAAAAGCTTTTTGAGTACTCTACGAAACGGTATATTTACTGATATTAAAAGATTTCATTACTTTGTTTACGCTGACGCTTTCGCGCCTTATACATTTTAAATATATAAGGCTTTTCTATAAATATACTGACACAAATATTTTTTATGCAAAGATTAATGATTTACTAACTTAATATTTTGTACAGAACATGTCTTCCAACGCTGTAGCCCATTTAGATATTATGAGACAGCTTAATATTAAGTTAAATGGGATAAATGTGGCATATACTTAGAGAAATGGCTACGCCAGAACATCTAATCTAATTATTACAAAAACCATATGTAAATAATACTACTAATGTAAGAGTTAATAATGAGGTTTCAAAAAACTTCAAATTAAAATCTAGAGTTCGACAAGGATGCATAATATCTCCTATTCTATTCAATATATATGTAGTGAACATATATTATGCGTCAAGTTTTTGAGGAATGGCAAGGTGGAGCAACGATAGGAGGAAGAAAAAAAGCAAAAACCTATGTTGTGCTGATGACACTGTTGTATTGGCTTCATTACCAGAAGAACTGGAACAAATTATGAGCTAGGCACGGTGATTACGGAATATGGTTTGAAAATAAATATGCAGAAAACCAAAGTGATATTCGATAGAATCAGAAACAACCAAGCAGAGATAAGAAACATGGCAGCTTACGAAGTGGCAGGCAATTTAATTACTTAGGCTCAGTTATTACTAACAGTGGAGGATGCGAAGACGAGATCTGTCGACGCATCACAATGGCCAAATCGGCAACAGCCAAACTCACAAAAATTCATCATAAAAAACACAAAGTTACGCCTTGTTCGAGCATTGATTGATATTTCCTATCGCCACCTACGCTTCAGAAACTTGAACAATAAAAAAGCCGATTCAAAGCATATAATGGCATTTGAGATGTGGGTCTACCGTAGAATGTTGCACATACCATGGACCGCCCATCGCACAAATAACTCAATTCTATCAGAACTTAACATAAAAACTAGACTCATCTAGCTACTATCTACTATCAACTAAACAACCAAAATATACTGAGATATTTTGGACATATAACTAAAAGAAGAGAAGGCATGGAGCGAGTAATAGTTGAAGGTAACGTAGCGGGTAAAGGATCCAGAGGAAGATCTCCAGTACGATGGTCGGGCCAAATAAAGGACATGACCGTTACTCATTCTCCGAAGCAAAACAACACGCACAGTAGAGAGATAATTGGACAAAAATAGTCAAACAAATTACATGACGCCACTGCATCTTTACGAAGGAGAAAAGATAGAGGAGGAGATACAGAAAGAAATAAGAAGAAAAATACAAACAGCAAAAGAAGCGTGGTTTCAAGAAAAATGAGAATTCAGTCAATTTCAACATTTATTCTATTCAAACCAAGATTTATGTAAGTTAATAGACAGTATTTGATACATTTCTCATTCCATTTTGAATTTCAATTCAAGATTTTTGTTTTTAATTTAAATTATCTGAATTTCCTATCCATAACACATGTCAGTTGTCACTTTTTTGAAAAAAACATTTAAATGGCCAGCATTGCATCCTACTCATCCTCTCTGTCGCCTCAACTCCATCCAGAGGGTTGGGCGCTTGCACGCTTGCCATAAAAAAATTGAATGTATTTTTTGTGGAGTCTAGTGTGCTGTCTTAAGTTTTTTAACTTTTGAATAAAAAAGTTTTGACTTTTTCATTCTCTTTAGTACTGGTACTTTTTAACTTTTGCCGTAAGTTAAACATCGTAACACTTAAATTATGTACTTATATTAACTTATTCTATTGTAGCATACCTCTGGAGATGGCTTTGTAAGAAGAAAGAGCTCAGTTAGGACCTACAAAATTTGAGAAATATTTATTAAAAATTTTATTAATAAAATGTATCGAAGTTCTTGCTTTATGAAGAAAACATTCTCAATTTACGCTTTACCTGGCTATTCATTATTATTCATTGTTTACCTACTAAATGCAATTTGAAACTATATTTTTCTAAGAAATACATGGCCGGAGTGAATTTACCTATGACCCCTTTCTCTAGGGTATTAAAATCTGACTGCCGGAGCGAACTAGTGTATGCCTAAAACGGACTCCCCTCGTTGCGTAAATATACTCTTCCAAATGTTTACTGTGACTGCTAACCACGAAACGCTATTTCGTGTTTTGTGGCGCTATTTCCGTGACGCTCGCCTCGGCATTTTACTGTAGATTTTTACTGTAGATTAAATTTTTTAAGCCTTTCTCTCTATTCGAATTGCTGAATATAGGCCTCTCCTAATTCTCGCCATTCATCTCTGTTGTTTGAAGACGTCTCCACATTGGCCCTGCAGTTCCTTTAATATCGTCGTTCCATTTCATTTGCGGTCTCCCTCGTGGTCTTTTGGCTTCTTATGGCCGCCAATTCCCGATTTCTTTATTCCATCGGCCATACTTAAGACGTTCCTTATGTCCAGCCCATTTCCATTTCAGTTTAGCTGCCTGTTCGACAGCATCTGTTACTTTTGTTCTTTTACGAATATCTTCATTGGTTTTATGGTCTTTGAGTGAGATACCCATCGAGCAAAAAGACAAAAGAGGGAATATAAAGGTAGTGGGGGCAAAAATATTGTTAGACAGGAAGTGCGATCTTTAGAGGCCACATTAACAAATTTAGTTGGGTTATGTTATTGTTTGTCCCAAATGTCACATGAAATCTTATTTATATTGAAGTTTTTTAACAAGTGAGTCGCATTTTAGACTATTACCGTTAATAATTAATTAAAACTTTCTCGTCTAAGACACATTCTGAAAAATATTATATAGCTACTGTTAATAAGTGTCGGAAAATTTAAATTTGGCGCATTCGCATTTCCGGATATGTCCGCCATCAGAGGCCACTTTTTGGTCTCATTTTCATAAGGATTAGATTCCCTCTTTTGTCTTTTTGCTCGATGGAGATACCCAGCATCTGTTGTTCCATAGCTCTCTGAGTTTTTCTGATCTTCTCCATGTTTATTTTAGTGAATGTCCAGGTTTGAGCTCCATATGTAAATACAGGCAGGATACAGGAATTAAACACTTTGGTTCGCAGTCTTTGAGGTATATTTTTATTTTTAAGTATGTATAAGAGTCTTCTGAATGCTGCCCATCCCATTTTTACACGTCTGCTTATTTCTGTAGTCTGATTTTCTTTGATAACCTTGGCATTTTGGCCCGGATATGTATATTCATATACGTGTTCTATCTCCGGCCCTTCGATGTTTATCATAGGTTTGTCATCTTTGTTTGATTTGCTGAAATTCATTTTTAGTCATTTTTTTAGGGATTGTAGCTCCTCAATCATGGTATTTCACGTGTCGGCTATCAGTACTACATCATCTGCGTATCAACGAGTAATTATAAGTAAAAAGTAATATGGTAAAAAGTAATACAACGCCAGTATTCAAGCTTTAGTTAAAAAATTATGACAAAATTTACATAATTGTATCATTGTAATTTTATAAACTAATTGATAAAACGTAAACTAAAATTTTAATTATATTAATACATTATAAAGTATTAATTATTCATCAATACGCTCCAACACTTA